CCCATTACCTCTGCTCTTTTGATCCAAAATAATCCTCTCACAGATATGTGTGTTCTTAACTGGATGCAGATACTTGATACTTTGACCCTCTCCAAAACAGAAAAAAGAAATCTGGCGTAGGAAGCCAGCAGTTGGCTGTTCTGTGACCATTTTAAATAACTTGACATTCTGGTGCTCGTTTTCTTCAAAAGGCAGACTTAGCTTTGTGGGGTAAGCCAACTACTGTCAGCAACAAGTGAAAGATGACAACAGTAGCGGGCCGGTCAAATAGCTTCACATTTGTGTCATCCACTTTTACTGCCAGTGGGTTTAGGTGTGTCACGGACATCGTGCACACGCTCCAGCCTCTCGAGCCCAACTTCCTCCCCAAATGACCTCATGCATTGACAGCTTTTGTGGGTGTTTTTTGTTTTGGTTTTCTTCCTTGAAACATGTTCAATCTAAATTTTTTTTTCTTAATATTAATGTGTAAACTGAAGTTTGTGCAAATTGTTAAACTGCTCAGCAAGAGTGGGAACCCTTTGAGAAACACAGCACACTTGCATATTTGGAACCTTGTGGATCAGCTCAGAAAGAAGACGGATCCTAAAAGTAGATAAATGACAGAAATGCACACAAAGCGACGGTGCCTCTTCTGCTTGTGTTTTCAGTATCGTAAGATTCATCGTGGGAATGATCGGATAACCTTATCAATAAAATCTTACGTAGAGTTTGAGACGGTGGGACAATAATAGTCCAGAGTGCAGACTAAAGGTTTAATAAACTACACCTGATGTTTGGGTTTGCTGAATAGAAGATAAGAGACAAGCGGCTTCAATTTTCCATATTGAAACCGAAAATTTAATTTAACCTTGGTTCTGAAAGTTCATGGAGTTCACGCAGTCCTGATAGGCTGATTGTAACATCAGCTGATGGCTCAGCTGAGACCCTTTTGTGTATCCCGTTGGCAAATTTCCCCAGCTTCTCCATTTCATGCTATTTCTGACTTAATGTGCTCCCGCTTGCCTTACCCTGACAGTTGGTCACTACAATAGATAATCAAGCTCGGTTCATGTCAAATAGTGTTGTCATTTACTCCCATTAGTGGGCCTTTCAATGTGGCATTTTTAATATTCTGTACAGTTTTCCTTACTAATAACATATTAGTAAGGAATAAATTTCTTATTCTTGCATGTTTAAATCCTAGTTTGGTTTTTTTTGTATTTTACTGTTATTAAAACGTATTTTCCCTGTTATTGCTTCAAGCTGCTGAATTTCATGGACGTTACATGGTGTGAATGCCCCTTTCAGCTTTCCACTTATCACTTGGGGTCAGAGCAATACCATGCTATAGAAATGATTGCAGACGCAGTAACAATACTTTTGACCAAATTGGTCCTGACAGAACTAGTTTTTGAACCATGCTTCCTGTCAGCGTTTAGTCTAAGCTAGTCTTTCCCTCCTCTTTCAGTTGAGTTTGGAGGCCAGTCACATTATGGGCATTGTGTGATGTTTTTAATAAGGTCAGTCTCAGGCCCAGTATAACCCACAAGCTATATCAGACTAAAATATCTGTTTTTATAATATAGATATTTATAATAAAGATCTTTTATAATCTCTGTCTGGTGTGAGTGCTGTTTTGCGCTCACACAGTGAAACTTGGTCCTAGTTGCAGCAGGGATCAGACAGATGTACAGCTGGAGCTTGGCACTTGGCACAAGATGTGATGCAGCAAACTGTGCATCTGCAGCACTGGCCAGGGATCCACAGAGCGTCTACAGCAGTGGGACCTGGGGAGTTGTTCCTCACATCAGTCCATATGAGCTCCAGAGCCCAGCAGCTGCAGTACCGTGTTAGCAAAAGTTATGCAATCAGTGTCCAGAGTTAATGTTTGTTTGATATTTTTAATCATCTGCTGTGTATGAGCTATTGCTCTGCATCCCAGCAGAATTCACTGACAGTTTAAGTCCTCAGGCTGGTGGCAGTGGCTTTTTGCATTCAGAGAGCGTTGTGCCCACCAGGATTTTTCCACCAGCTGACAATGAAAATAAGGTGTCAATGTAGCCCTTGACTTGGTGTCTAGTTTTCAAGTACTAAATCAGTTTATGCTGCATGTCGTGATGTGCTGTTTTCTCAAGCAGCCAGCCATCTGGTTTAGAAATGAGACTCATGTAAAGCGATCTGTAATGTTTACCAGATGCTTGGAGTATAATTTAGACCTTTTATATAACAACTGAAAGGAAACTAAGATAGGAGAGTGTAGAGCTACAATTTCTCCTCGGGCAACACCGAGATAGAGGAGGATGTTGCCCACCCCCGTCCTAGTCTGACAGTGCAAACCTGAATAACCAGTTTAACTGTAACTACGTGTGTGGCGATTAGGGATGGGTAAACGGTAGTAACCAGACCGAAAAGCAGCGCACATTTCGGTGCTTTTTAAAAAA